TCGAACGACGAGAAGCTGAACATCGCCACGTTCCCTGCCGAGGAGCGCGAAGACGGATGGGTGTATCTGAAGCTGCCTCCTGTCGAGGAACTCGATGCCGTGCTGGGGACAGAGAGGTGGAAAGTCAAGAAAGACGAGGCGCCGGATCCTTTTGCGAAGGTCGATAGGATTTACTGTAAGGGGAGGAGGGGGAAGAAGATGGATGATTTTAGGGATGGTCGGCGGGTGCATCATGTACAAGTACCTGCAAGTAACGGAATTGATTGGTAGTTTTTTTTTTACTTTCTCTGTCGGGAATATGGCAATCTACCTAGGGCATGGATTGTATCTGTGTTAAATTGAACTGCATCTTTTGCACATCACATAGTATGTAACCTATTTGAATCCAGAGTGAAAAGAATACAATGTATGTATATATGGACCCTTTCATTTCAGAATATTGGTAATTAATGACAAGATTCCGACAATATGGCCATCCATAATTCCCCTTCTCTGTTCGAGTAGTCCTTCTAGGGTTCCCAGATCACGGGATCCCAGGACCAGGATATCAACCAATGACATTGCAAGATATCTTTGCCTATCCATCCCATCCCGAGCAGACCCGACAATCCATCAGCAGACAGTAATAAGTTATAAAAGTTTCTTTCTTTCTTCGCTTGGCCAAATAACTCCGCGGAGGATTACCGGAGAATATCTTATTATTGTTAGGCCCCTGCACATCCACATGGCTGAGATCGAACTGTGGAGTCGCGACATAATCGATTAGCCTCAAGTCAGTCTGATGACGGAGGCTGATCCGTCGAGACATTATCCAATCGCAGAGTTTCCTGTTATCTTGACCCCTTGCTACCATGCGCCAGGCCGGTAGGACAAGAGCGAAAGACAAGTCCGAGGAGAAGCTCTCCATTTTCTTTGTTTCGCTTCAGCTTCAACTCTATTAGCAATCTTCGTCCTTATCAGTTCAGGGTCTGTCTCCATGTCTGGCGGCTCTGGCTATTAGTCCATGTTCGTTCGGTGTTCCAGACTTTTCTTCTGCCTGTCATCTCCATGATGCATCATGCCGCGGAGTTGGTTTTCCTCCCCGCTATGTCTGACCACTAATACAAGCTTGGCAGTATGATATGGCATCTGAGTGTGAATGATTGGCCACTTTTAGACTTCTTCTATGTGTGTCATTACTTTATTGCCTAATGTTATTGTTCACATTGGATTTGTATTGTGTGTGCGGTTATCTGCCCGATCTGTGGCTATCACGATATGTTTGTCTGAGCCTTGGACACCGAAGTTTAATTTGCTTCTGTTGAGAAGATTATCGAGAGGTGTGTGTCCCAGAGTAAGTCTGTATAAGAATCGAAAGCTTCGTTATGCCTTTTCTGGCCACAAAACACCCCGGTCCTGGGCTGATACCCTTTGTTTCCTTCCTCTGTTTCCCTTGTGGTTTCGGTTGAGTTGTAGTGATTGCATTCGCTGACACTTCGACACGATGGGCAACGCTCTCCAGAGCCTGTTCGCAGCCCCTGAGATCAATCCTATCAACCACAAGGCCAAGTCAGTGCCAGTTCTCAATCCTTTTGATCGTTATGGGCGCGTTTTCTTTTTCTCCTGGCTCGGGTTCCTGGTGGCGTTTCTGTCGTGGTATGCATTTCCACCGTTGGTGAGTACGAACTTGGCGATGCGTGGTCTTTTTTTCAAAAAAAAAAAGAACGGCATTTTTATTGTTAAACTGCTTTTAGTTGACCGTCACAATCAAACAAGATCTTCGCATGTCCCAGAACGATGTCGCCAACTCGAATATTGTTGCGCTATTGGCAACGTGAGACCATCACGCCCCCAAATATCACCATTCAACGACATCCTAATAAACTGCAGACTTGTCGTTCGATTGGTCTCTGGCCCCCCTATGCGATCGCTTCGGCCCTCGCTTGGTCTTCATCGGTGTGCTGCTATGCGGTGCTATCCCCACTGCCATGGCCGGCCTTGTCACCAACCCTGGCGGTCTTATAGCCTTGCGATTTTTTGTCGGTATCCTTGGCGCCAGCTTCGTACCTTGCCAGGTCTGGACCACAGGTTTCTTTGATAAGAATGTGGTTGGTACTGCCAATGCTCTGGCGGCTGGCTGGGGCAATGCCGGGGGCGGTATTACATAGTAAGTGTGCTTCTCAGGTTTCAAATATAGACTCGCTACTGACTCACAGGTTATACAGCTTCGTCATGCCAGCTGTGTACGACTCCCTGGTTCAAGCACGAGGACTGAGCCCACACCAGGCATGGCGTGTCGCATACATCGTCCCCTTCGTCATCATCACCGCCATTGCCCTCGGCATGCTGTCCACCTGCGACGACACCCCAACAGGGAGGTGGTCCGAACGCCATTTGTGGGGCGATGAGACGCCCTCCAGCAGAGGAACAAGTAGTGTCATTCATGGGAATATGTCGACGGGCTCTGCAGCCCCGCCGAAAAATGTGGAAAAGAAGACGGACGAGGAGCCCTCTGACGTCGAAGCTCTTGATAACAGACCGGGGCAGGTGCTCGACCAGGAGATGGTCATTGCACCCACTCTAACAGAGGCCACTCATGTCATTTTCAGTCTGGCGACTTGGTCAATTGCGGCGACGTACGCCTGTACTTTCGGCGCCGAACTTGCCCTTGACTCTGTTCTGGGCTCCTACTACGGCCAAAACTTCCCGTACCTGGGCCAGACGGAATCCGGACGGTGGGCGGCCATGTTTGGTCTTCTTAACGTCGTCTTCCGTCCGCTGGGGGGATATATCTCGGACGTGATCTACCGCCACACCCAGTCCGTGTGGGCGAAGAAGACCTGGCTGACCTTCCTCGGAATCGTAACGGGAGCCTTTCTTCTAGCCATCGGCCTTGATGACCCGACGAGCGAAGCCACCATGTTTGGGCTGTCGGCCGGAATGGCCTTCTTTCTGGAAGCCGCCAACGGCGCCAATTTCTCGGTTGTTCCCCACGTCCATCCTTTTGCGAATGGTCGGTCGAGTTCCCCTTCTAGTTAGTTATAGACATCGGTATGCTAACTTCACGTCAGGTATCGTGTCAGGCGTTGTCGGAGCATGCGGCAATCTCGGGGGCATCATCTTTGCGATCATCTTCCGGTACAACGGAGTCCACTATGGCCGGTCGATCTGGATCATGGGGGTGATCTGTCTCGGGGTGTTTGCGGCGCAGTCGTGGATCCGACCGATCCCGAAGGTCTAGATGGGCAATGACTGACGAACTGTAGAATGTCGAGTTCTTGTAATGGAAAAGTAAACGAATCAGTGCGCAATTTTAACATTCTTCTTAATAGGGACCCTTGCGCCTTCCTTCAAATAGTGCCTTATCTGGTCTGTTTGATCGAGAACTTGCCTCAAATTGATTGAAGTGCCATACCGGATTGCATAAATAATAACTACTTAGGTAAGTATTGCATGACGACAATAAAGTCGATCTACTTCGTGTCAGTAGGTAGTTCTACTAGAATATATATAACTACAAGATACGCTGACATGTAGTAACTGAATGGTTGAATTTGAAAATAGGTAAGCAAGAATAAAAACTTCCTAGGCTATTTAACCCGTAAGGAGGTAGGGCTTGTTCAAATAGACAGCTATTATTTAATATTATGTCTGTACGTTCTGCGTGTATACAGCTCGGGTTGGTGCACCCCGAAGAAACGCGGTACAGCGGGAAAAAGTATACCGAGTGAGGGACCTACATACGTATGAGGGGCAATGACAATGACATCGTTTCGCACCGGCTCATTGTCAGACCTTTTTTTCCCTAACCTCACAAAAGAGAAATTGAAGTAAATTAAATCCTTTCAAGACTATTTCCTTACCTTGTTCACCTTTATATACACAAAATGGGCCCCGTCCGACGCATCGCCCAGATCGTCCATCTCAAACCCTCTACCGTCGAGGAGTACAAGGAATGCCACGCCAACGTGTGGCCTGAAGTCCTGCAGCAGATCCGCGAGTGCAATATCCGGGACTGTACGTCAGTCAGCTTAACATCCATCTATACGACTACTCCCTCCTTACAGTAAAAAATGACAGATTGATAACGTGACGCAACAACAGACTCCATCTTCTTCGACAGCGACCGCTCCATCCTCTTCGCCACTTTTAAATACGTCGGCGACGACTTCGAGGCCGACATGCGCCGGATGAAGGAGAATCCAAAGGTGCAGGAGTGGTGGGACATGACGGATGCGATGCAGGAGAGTTTTGTCCCCGGCGCGATTAGTAGTAAGGAGGGTCCTGGGTGGTGGAAGGAGTTGGAGGAGGTTTTTTATACTGAATAATTTAAAAAAAAAGAAGATTTTAAAAAGAAAAAATAAAATAAATTAGTATCATAGGTGCAGATGCTCGCGGTGGGGGAAATATTGGACAGTGTGTCAGCGGGAGGGAGCTTGTCTCTGCAATGATACTGGCAGGGAAGACATAGGATTCCACGAATTCTTAGGTTGTCTTTTTCTGGTCTCGTGGTGTTCAGAGGATACGAAGATACGACTTTCACTGGACGATTTAATGGAGGACAGCAGATAAAGAAGACAACCTGAAGGCTGCATGGACTCTTTGCATGGCATTTTCCAATTATCACAAAAGAGCGTATAAAACCGTGTGCATATTGAAAGACAAAATGATCGAAGTATGCTGTCAAAGCATCATATTATAGGTCAATACACTATATCTTCGTGATTATCCACCACGTATAGTGGAATTCCCACCTCTTCCATCCTCGAGAAGCGATGATGGCTTGTTACCAACTGCTTGCGGCACTACTCAAGCTTAGGCAAAACGCCACGAGCAATGTGCCTCTTGCGGAGGTTGTACTCGATCGCCCGCTTCTTCGCAGCCGGCGACTGCGTAAACGCCGCTGAACCGCCAAAGGGCCCCGCGAGAGCGTTGTTGTTGATCCGGACAATGCACACGTTGTTGACACCGGCCACGCTGCCCTCGCAGGTCATACCAGCAGGCATCTGGACCTTGATGGGGAAGTCGGTGCTCGTCGCCGTCGACAGACCCAGCTTGTCGCCCGGAACGTCCTGGATCACCTCGGCTTTCTGGAACGCGTTGGGATCGGTGCCGCCAGAGATAGGGTCGATCATTGCCGTTAGGATGCCTGCACCATCCTGGTTGACCTATTTTTCTGTTAGGTAGATTCCTACATAGATCCCGGACTAGGAGGAAGGTCCCTCACCTGGTGAAACGTCATGGAAATGGTTCCGTTGTCAGAGCAGGTGGGAAGACCCGACTGCGCGCCTTGGCCGGCAGTGTCCTGAATACCGGTCTCGACACCAGTGGACTTGGTACCCTTACTCTGAGTTCCGCCACCGTTTCCTTCACAAGTCAGTGATGACGATGATCCAAAGAACTTATTTAGGTATGTATATGCATGATGAAAATCCTACCTCCCAGAAGATTGCCCAACAAACCGCGCTTGTTTCCAGCAGTAGTCCTCCCAGCCGAGGCTGTGCCCATGAAAGCCAAAATCACCCTCGCGGCATCCACTGGACCGCCGCCTTCGGTGCGTCCCAGGGCAGAGGCCTTGCTGGTGCCGAGCTCGTTTTGTCGGATGATGGAAGTATCGGCTTCAGCACCACATCCGGGAGTTGGGCAGTTACGAGGGGTGCCATCGATCACTATGATATTCATATCAGCGGAGCTATTTTCAGTTGGAATACATGTACTTACCCGACAGGCCAGGCATGTTCACGCCGTTCGCGCCTTGGATCTGAGTGACCAGGCCATGAGCAGAGACGTGGGCGGCCAAAATCGCCAGGAGAGCGGCAACAGTAGCAGTAGCGTAACGCATTCTCTCGTTCTCTTTGATAGGGATATTCTAAACAAGTAATGTAAAAATGCGTCCTGCGCAGAATTTTAGAATCAAAGACCAAGGCGAAGAAGGGAATTGCTGTTGGAAGACAAGATTATCTGTGCAGTAAAGTCAATGCTTGCTTCGTGACAAAAGACAAATATGGAGGACAGCCAGGAGGATCTTTATATACTGTTTCTTTCCTTCTTCTCATGCTCCCAGCGCTCAGACAAGGAAACACCGATGGAGAAGCCGAGAAGGCTCACGATTGTCAATTCTCTGACATATCGAAAGAGCCAGACCCCGGTCAGTTAGCTATGTTGGCTAGCTTCTGAAGCATAGGAAGCTCTGTTCCCCAGAGTGCATCTCATTTCAGACTTCCTAGAGCAGAATATGTGCACATAACCTTGGAAGAAACGGTATGGTATGGTATCCTGATCGTCCACCTCAGACACCACATAGGGATAAGCTGTAAAGTCTGGATGTGTATAATGAATAGATTATGCAATTGTCCTTGTGCATAGTTTGTCAGGAAACCAGATCTAGACCTCTTGTGTTCTGTTCGATTCGGTTCTGCACCTGCAGTCGAGTGAGGCGCAGCGTCTCAGAGAAGAAGCTTCTGGCGTTTCAAATCGTGCTGCTTGAACTCGGATGGATCGACGTCCGTCTTGGCAGGGACCCTAAACTTAAGCTTTAGCAAGCATGCAGATGATTAGATGTCGGAGGAGTACATGGAGAAAGGGTAAGTGAGAGACCATGTCGGTGCCTTACGGTTTCTCGAACTGAAGCAGGAGGAAGTGGTTCGAATACGGCATCAGGAATAGTGCAAATGCTGAAACCTCAAACAGCCCAAAAAAGGAAACACTTCTCTGCCAGCGTGGTGAGAAAACTACTTGTGCTGAAACAACCTCGGCACTTTGGTTAAATATGAAACGTCGCCTTGCAAAGGTTACCTAGGTACATACTTTCATGCGAAAATGTATTTCGTCGTTACCATACTTCCATTTCATGGGACGTGAAAATTTTCGCCATCTCTTGAACGCTGTTAGGAAGCTGGAGATAGGTCGAAGTTATGACGAGTGGTGGGTGTATGGTACCAAGGGTGATGGAAAATCTCACCTTTTAGCTGCTCTCGCATGCTACTTGTGTCATCTTCATTCCTGATGCTTCAGAAACTGGCCGGAATTGGGATTCAGCAGTCCGAAGAAGAGAGTGAAATGGACCCCAAACCCATGCATTCCACATCAATCCCTAACTACTCATATGCTATTTTTTTTATATTTTCTTTCTTCCTTTCTTTTCCCCTTCATAGGAGATTGAGAATTTGTGCCATATTTCTTTGATCTATTTCTTTCATAGATATTTTTAAACAGTTCCACCGGGTTGTTGTCTGAGCTTTGCCTGCCAAGGGCCGTCAAATCGGGTCCAATGAAGTCAGAGACAGAATTTGACTTTTCTTTTCTTTTCTTTTCTTTGACGGGTGTCTCTGGTCGTCGTTCAGTTTCACGCCAGATGCCAGGCTTTCGTCTTTCATTGCTTTATTCTGTTGTCACCCAAAAGAGAGACGGCAGATACAAGGAAAGGAGAGGAGGGAGGAGAAGTCATGCCCCGATAAGAGCAGCCTTATCCCGGTCATTCCCTGATGGAAGGTGCGGAGAATATACAATTTTCGTTTTCTCATCATCCCTCTGCCTGAGCTGTTGTCGTAAGGCTACTAGTCTCACTTAGGCGGCCATCTCTGCTCTTTCCTTACTGCCTAGGATGGATGTTGCCTTCGGCTCTGGAGGGGACTATTATGTCCCTCAGAGGGTTTCCTGTACTCCATCAGGTCGACAACAAAGAAAACCATCCGCTTCCATCTGTCCAAATGCCGCATCAAAGACGTGGGAGCATCGAGTAGTCCGCTACTCCGAAAAGGTCAACCACTCGAAGGTCTCGCTGTCACACCAAATTGACAAGCCCAGCCACCGGACGGGAAACAAAGAGCACAGAGGTCAACTATTAAAGCGGCTGCCATCTGGGTGCAGTCTCTAGAAGAATCGAAGCTCGCCCTCGAGAGAACACTTGAATCGGACGCTATGGAGCCCCAGAGCGAAGCTGTTAACCGTATCCTCGCCGGAATCGAATCGGTGGATGGACTCACAAAGGAGATCCTTGCGAAACTGCAAGCGGAACACGCGGGGCGAGTAAGAATAGAGATTTCCCAATTCACTGTTAGTATATACCGATATGCTTGATGAACTGAAAGTAACAATCCCCCAGGTTGATCGTTCTGACTACGAAAGATGGAGCGAAAAGCTCGAATGCTATGGCGTCGAATATGATGCCCAGTCGGCAAGACTGATCATCAAAGGCCATCCCCACCCCGCGCATCAAGGACCATGTGTAATCATGAGCCCCTGGTTTCATCAAGTCGCAAGCAGTCTGTCTGTACATGGGAGCCATTTTGTCCCTGCTGGAGCTCAAAGTTAGTGGTTTGCCTTTAATCTAAAACAGCTCAGGAAAATTGACAATGATGCCAGGTATCGACCTCTCTGGCCCGTACGAAGGATCCGAAAAGGCGCCCGATGATTGCATTCTATGTCCCTTGACGGGGTTCCCTCTCATTGTCCTGGAGGTGGGAAACTCAGAAACTATGGCAGACCTCTTTAGGGACGCGGAGCATTGGTTAAACGGCACCCTTGGAGTAACTGAGTTGGTCATTTTGATCAATATCAAACAGAAACGGCCTCCATGCACCTTGGACCCCTCCTGCTCCTCTTCTTGGGGTCTGACCCCAGACCAGATCCGAAACATCGGCAGTGTTACCGCCCTGTCCAACCACATAGTCCGGTGGTATCGGGATCAGAATATCCCTTTTGTGGAGAAATGTAAAGCAGATGTGTACTTTTGTTCAAAGGCCAACCCACGTCCAGGCCAGCCCATTTGGTCTTGTGACTTGTCGCCCGACGATGATGAGGAGTCTGATGGGGGAACTTTTGTATCCCTTCACGAGTTCCTGACAGAGGACCATCAGCTGTGTCTACGCGGAGTTCGAGTCCCGCTACCATTCAACCAGAACTTCCAGACTACCATGAAGACATTTCTTCAACACGAGGAAAGAAAGAAAGCTGTTCAGAGAGCCAGGAAGAAGTTTGCCGAACTTTGAAACAACAAAAAGGATATTCCTACTCGGTCTGGCTACGCCACTACAGATTACTCCGGAGTATATTAGCATTGCTTAACCTTCATAGATACTTAGGTAGTTAATTAGAGAACAAGACTGTGCAGAAGAAGCCTGTTTTTTTTTTTTACTAACACTAATCAACCTGAAGCCCGCCTCGAGAGTAGAGGATAAGTAATAGTATACGTGAGAAATATGACGGGGGTGCTTGGGAACCCAGAAACGGCATTTGCTGCGCTACATTCTCGCCTATGATTCTATGGGTAAGTAAACTGCAACCAAACTCGACAATTCACTCCGTATGCTCACGTATCAGATACTCTCTCTACCTGTGCGTGTTTCGGATTGCGTTTAGTCTCCCCCTCAAGTTGGATCAGCGACACGGCACAACTGTCAGTGGTTATCAGGATAATCCCTGCTCAGATCAAACGTTGAGAGCTGCATGAACTGAGATGGATAG